TATACCCTTTATGTAGTGATGTCATAGAGACATTTCCTTCATATTATTTAGGGGTATTTTTGGTATTAAAAATATAAACCTACTAAGAAGCACTAGCATAGGTTTAATCTCACATCGGTTGTCTTTTGATGTTTGAGACACACATATGTCTCCATTTGCTTTTGTCTTCAATAGTCCTCTCACACATACACATGTGTATATGACCACTCTTTGCCCCACACTAAATTGGCCCCTAGATGATGTGGAAAGGGAGTGACGCACATGTGCTTTAACTAGTCCTTAGCCACTCAAACCCCTGGCTAGTGGCTCCCCCAACTATGCTTCCAACTCACATGTGGGCCTAATTGTCCAATAGGTCCCATACTTTTTTTTAATATAAAAAATATGATTATAAAACAATATAAAATTACATAATTTATTAAAATTTCAGATTAATCAATTGAAACCTATTTTTTTAATTTAACATAAAGATAAGTCTATTTATCATGAATTAAAGCTTAAAATATATTATTAATTAATTATTAACTTATGATAATTAAGACATTACTCATCATAATCAATTAATAGATATGCAACACAATTGAATATTTTTGAATAACTATTTGTATTTTGATGATACCACATTTCAAGTGAGTTATTTTTATGACTGAATTGGTTGAATAAATATTATGAAGATAATTAGTTATTACAATAACTTCAGCCTAAAAATCATTTGAAAGATATTACTCGTTAACCATACTTAACACTATTTCTAATATTGTTTTGCATTTTATTTTAACAATACCATTTTACTCTACAATTTTTCTACTATCATGTTGCTTACAAAAAAAAAATTATTGGAAATTCATGAGATAAAAATCTGCCTTTTATATGCTCAAAGAGTCTTTATACATAGACAAAAGGTTTTTAAGAGAGCCTTAACCTCAACAAAAATTTCAAATGTCTTAAATTTTTGAACCATAAAACATATGAATTCTAGTTGAATGATGAAGTCAACATACTAGAAGTATCAGCATATAATATTTTGAGAGATGATATTGTTATTGGAAATTATAAATAACATTGTTTGATATAAAAACGCCCTTCACAAATATCATTAGGACTGTAACAATAGGTAAACCAAAAATCATATTTTTGTGATCTAATAACTTCACTGCATTAAAATATAATTGACCATAACACAAACGTCATAGTCAAGAATAATTATTTTCTTTAATAATCATTGTAAATTCAACATGTCATCAAAGATGAAGGAGAAATATGATTTTTTTAACCTTAGAAATAGACATAACAAACAAAAAAATAATTTACTCATCATAAAATATATTTCCATCTTTAAAATGAAAAATACAGTTTCATTCCATCAATTAACCTAAGTTGAGTAGATTGTGTGTCAATTTTGGATCAAGATATACATTATGTATCAATTTATTTATTCCTATTGTTTTTACAACTATGGTTCTAATGCCTTCATGTTATACATTTGTTCCATCTCTAATTTGTACTTGGCATCATTGTTGCCCTTAGTTTTGATGATTACAAATGAGAAGTCATTGGTACATTGTTGATTCATATGTTAGATTGAGAAAATATAAATTTAAGTTTTTATTTATATGTTTAACTTAAAATTTAGGTGAACTTAACATTCCATATATTAAAAAAATTGATCATGTTCATCATAGATTACATTTTTTGTCCAATTATTATGATTTAAACTTAAACATTTAAATGCATGGTTTTCAACCTTAAGGTTAAGTTGTTATTTGTCATAGAAATGTTATAAAATAAGTAATTACTAATTGAAGAAATATTTATTTGAAGCATATGTCATATAAGGTTGTATGGCATTTGTTGGCACATGCTATAGTACTTGATCCATGGGTAGACACATATATAAAAAAATATAATGTTTGATCAAGATTATATTTATCATGATTTAACCTTAATATTGTAGTGATTATGTATTTCATATTATTTCAATATGATGTTAGACAAATTCTCTAAGTTATTAGTATCATCAAATCAACAAGAAAATAAACAATGGATCAAAGATTCAAGTTTTAAAAATTTATCTAGATAGTAACATGTCACGTAAGTACCAGAATAGAAAGTGAAATAAAATCAATGATTTAGAGCCAATGTGGTGTCAGGTTGTTATTCATTAAGAAAGTTTCAGCTCAAATTTGAATGCAAACAACTATAAGAGTATAGAAAGTTGAAGATTTGAAGGTCAACATATCAAAACAACATAATTGGTAAATGGTAAAACTTTAGCATGTCAACTTGAACATTGGAGATTCAAGAAAATTGATAAACCAATATATGATGAATGTCAATTTATAAGAGAAGGATTTGTGTCAAAAAATATCCGACAAACTTAGTAATTCAATGTTCTCTATTGAGATCTTCTAGTCACATGTTTCAATGATGAACTGACTATATTATTATCTTCGTCAATTTGATCCAATAGTCAAATAATTGTGCAACTAAAATTAATATTCTCTATTAAGTCTTAAGGTAATTGAGTTATGAGGAGATATGCATTTTAGTGAAGGCACCTATTGCTTGTAATGGTATTTGGCTTAAGATGAGTTAATGTGTTGAAAGATCTATATGGTGGTGAACTCAAGATTTGGGTTCCTATTCGTATTAAATTTAGAGTATATTTCTAAGAGGAATAGTTAAATTTAAATGATAATTTTCTCCAAGACTATGAGGTTTTGGATTATTGGTGAAAGAGTACTATGAGGTCTTACTACTACAAACAGCCCCTCACATGTGTGTCAATGCACAACCCCATTAGTTGATACATAGATTACTTATGTCAACTCATAGATAGGCTTGTATAAGAAAATTACCCTATAGGTGAAAAATCGCAAAAACTTTTAGAAACCCTAATCTACCATCTTCCCTTTCTCGATGTTTCAATTAGTCAAAGAATTCCAATAGACATTTCATAGATATATTACGACATTGAAATAAATCCTTTTCACCTGTCCAATGATGGATGCATGCACTATCAAGAAATCAATTTACATGAATTAGAGTCAAATAATTAAGAGACAATTTTTTGTCATCATTTTCTCTTACAATATTAGCTTATCTCCTTTTTATGTCAACAATTTGCTTCAAGATGACCATACTTTCTACGAAATTACATTATATCATCTTAGTATTATTTTCTATAATATTTAATTGCTGTTTTTTCTTGTCTCAAAAATAGTGTTTAATATATCTATATATTTTTATAAAATTGACATTATATTATTTTATAATTTGGGTTTTGATTTTAATTATCAACAGCATCATACCTTTGGTGACAGTTTATTTTGACATAACCTCTTCTATGGCCTAGACTATGATAAGTTCCTCTACTTCAATTTCTATTATCTACCACTGATTTCTATATCACTACCTCAATTTCTATGATAAATTATCTTGATTTTTGACGAGTATTTCTTCACATAATTGTTTCAAATCTTCTTCTCAGCTGAAGTTTAAGATATTACCAGCCTTGCCAAGGATATTTTTCTTTGGTCCACAAGTAGTGTGATGCCCTAAAAACTTATCATGATGATTTCGAGTCGATTTCTAGCATCGTATTCAGCTTGAGGTACCTTTTTGCGCAGCGAATCCATATTCCAGATTCTCTCCAAAAAATGGGAGTTTCTCTGCGTCTGCTCACGTGGCTATGCCTTGGGATTGAACCCTGGATAAGCGATGTAGGGGGATTTGCATGGAGTTGGTTGGTATCTCGGGACAGAAGGTGGGTGGGGTAGCCGGCGGTCAGTCGCCGTCTAATCCTTTCGATAATTTTTCTTTCTCTAGGATAGAGAGATAAGCACATACTGTTTGTTGAATAACTGCAAAGACCTGACGAAACATGGTGAATAACTCCTCTTTAAGACATTCACCTTGTGAATCTAGAACGAGAACTGAACTAGTAGAACTAGAAATCAAGAAGAGAAGAGTTGATAAAAGAGAACAGTTGGGCTCCCATGGAACAGTTAGTTGTCTGGTGAATAGGAAAAGGGTTCGAGAGGTTTCCCAACCTCTCTCGAAGTCTTTTCTTTCTCTCCCCCCCTTCAAAATCCCTTTCCTCTCTTTATAAACCCAGCTCACCAGTGAACAACATTACCCCTCTGTAACCCTATACCAACTGAGTCCTTTGGATTTTTCTCCTTCTTCACTCATATGTCAATAAGGGGATCATATTACATGCATAGGTGTTCCAAGACCTATATCTTTTTTCCATATGACATCCCAACCTCTCTCTCTCTCTCTCTCCCTCCCTCCCTCCCTCCCTCCTTTTCAAAGCAAACAAAGGACGTCAACAAACCAGAGTAAGCGCAGCTGCTCTCATGGGCTGGCTCTACCGATGGAGCCCATACCCGCACGTCAACTGGGCCTGGGCTCAAGGGAATATCCAGCCTGAGCCTCCCTAGTGTTTTATGTCACGGGTCAAGTCTCTTCACTCATCGGAGCCGCTCAGAAAATCCACCACCCCTCGATCGCCCTTCCTACTCTCGACGATTGTCCAGACTGCCCATCTGACGGTTCACCTGATCTGACGCCCAGTCAGCCGCTCCGCTAGGAACCACTCCATCACCCAGATCCCAAAAGCTTCGGAATTGATAGTTTCAAGCCCAATAGTATGACTTTTTTTAATATTCTTTGAAATATCCGTCCTAGGTCCTATATTAATGTAATTATAAAATATTTACATATTTCTATGACACGTGGCCACATTAGAAGAAGACACGAGAGCAGGCCGATTATCGGATTGCAGCACCCGAGTGTCCCTAAACGGTCCCATTGTGGACCCGTTCGGTAAGCGCCGTCTTCCGTCTTCGGCGTCCCCGGGGTAACTCCATGGAAGAACGGCGCCCGCTGCTCCCTTGCCGCTGCAGCACGTAGAAAGCCCCGAGTCACCCCTAGGGTTTTGATACTCCCGCCAATCTCCTGGTTGATCGGGCGAGTTGTCTCGCCTGGTTGCTGTAATGGGAGACGAGGCGAAGGGGGAAGAAGGAGGCCTCCGACTCGTTCTGGTGACGAGGAAGGGAGGGTTCGCGCTCCCCACGGCGTGCCCGTCGTGCCTCCCCGTCTACGTTTCCCTCAAACTCGCCAAAGTCCCCTTCGATCTCCACTTCGACTCCAAGAACCCGGATTCAGGTCAGGGTCGGGGTCTTTGGAAGCCATCCCTTTAACCCTCCCCTCCTCAGTCTTCCATTTGATCCGGCCCCGTGCATTGCCTGGTTTTATTACTATTAGTTTTTTCCCCCGATAGGCTATGTTTACTTGCTTATGCTCATTGTCGTCATGAGTTCTCTTGCAAGTTAGACAGCTGACGGGCATGTTATCTGGACACTTGATAGATATTAATGACAATAAACCGGCTGCTTGATAGTTGATTCTTGGGTTCATTCCCTCTAGATCTCAGCTTCATATTCTGAATAATATATTACTTGAGCTTATAACTCCCATTTCATCGTTTGTGCCTTCACACTTGAACTAAGTGTGCATTAGACGAAATTAACTGATTGAGGATGATCAGGCTATGCAAGAAGGGAGGAAATGACCTCATCTTCATTTTTCTTTTTTTTTTAACTACCAGATACCGAAATCAGACCTGGATTTCTAGCAATGCCCTCCATGGGGTCGTTTTCCTGTTGAATCCGTTCTGTCCAATTGTTGTCTAATTTTTCTTTCCTTGCAGACCACATCCCATTCGTCGAATTTGGAGATTACGTAGCTTACGACAACGAGAATGGAGGAGTCATTGATAGGCTGAAAGAAGATGGAATCGTTGACTTGGATTCTAGTCTTCCAGGTCAATCATTTCCAGATTGGTTATCTATGAAAGCAATGGTTAACTCCTGGCTTGCTGACGCCGCATTGTATGAGTTATGGGTTGAATCTGATGGAAGTACTGCAGACACAATATACTTCTCTGATCTTCCTTGGCCAATTAGAAAGGTTCTTCACTGGAAGCAAAGTAGGGCTGTCAGGAATATAATGGGGATAACGAAATTCAATGCTGCAGAGCGAGAAGGCGAGGTGCCACACGATTTACTTCATTATGCTTATCTTGGGTTCTTTGCCCGTTTATTTTGTGATTCGTAAGTGATCAGAATCTTGTGGCAGATATACAGGAAGGCTAAACAAGCATACAAAGCTTTATCCTTGAGGCTAGGGGATCAAACATTTTTCTTTGAGAACAGGTATCTTAGATGCTCTGTTTTTTCGATTTTCAGTCCAATTCTCTGGTGACGCTTCGTTCTCCATGTCGAGTTTAATAAGAAATTCCATCTTTTCCTGTGAATAGGCCGACTAGTTTGGATGCTGTTTTCCTCGGGCATGCTCTTTTTGTGCTGCAAGCTTCACCTGTGAGTCACCTTCTGTTCTCCTATCATCTATGTCTTGTTGTCCACGGTTCAAAATGAAGCTCATCTCTTTCTTTATGCTTTTCTAAACAGAGGATGCTCATCGCCTAATTTTCATTGGAATCTGTGTTTAGTGTTGAATCTCAGGAGTTTTTTAGCATCGTGTGGCTGACGATATTTTGGTCTCCTCCCTCATTCTGATCAGTATACAATGAAGAAAAGTGCTGGATAGGCTTTTATGTCTGGCCTTCTGGCTTTTAATAACCATGCATCTTGATGATGCTCCATTTCTGTGGAGTAAACTGATGAATTTCTTCCCTCCATGAGAACACATTTTCTAGGTTCAATGCTGGTCAGTAGTGATCGACCCATCTCAGTGAAAATATATTTTTTGACCATTGGCAGGCGTCCCTTACCTTGGGCATTCCATCAGGCAAATTTTATCTTCTTTACCACTTGGACTGATCAGCCATGGTCAATAGAACATTATCCAACACTCTTGACTCGGGACGATGGCAATGCCGTCTTCCCAACATTGTGACAAGAAGTCAACTCAGTACATTGACACACTTTTGACATGAAAAACTCACTGTCCTTGAAAGGTCTCCGCGTAAGTGTTGGCACTGACCCTCTAAAATGTGGTGTGTGGAATTGGAACGGTGTTAATCTCGGATGGAAGAGTTTCTCTCTGTTGCTCCACAACTGTTGACTGCGGAGAGCAGTAGAGCCCAGCCAAGTTGGATACACGCACTGGGTATCCTCTTTCCACGTTTCTTCCTCAATATCTATGACCAAACCATCCTGATGATCCTGCCGCCTATGTGATTGGGTGATCTTCCTCATCTGTCTTCTCCAATGAAATAATCACTGTGCACCATGTGGTAAACGTTGGGGATTGACCTCTATCTGGCACCAGTTAGAGAGGGAAGCTAAATCGTCTTCCCCCCAAATGTATAAAATAAAAGAAGAGATTCTCACTACTTCTAGGCGTTTTTATTGTCATCTTCGCCTTATTTCTTCTCCCTCTTCTTTCCCTCAAAATTATGAACTAATCTGCAATTCTCAACTGCTTGAACTCTTGGTTTGCCTGTTCCTTTTCTTATAGCTGCTTTGTAGGCATGGTTTCTCATATTTATCAGCTGTCTGCTCTTCTGTCTGGCGCTTTAGGAAACATCAACACTGCGAAAACTTCTATCGAGCCATGACAATCTCGTGAAATATGTGGAAAATCTGAAGGGAGAGTTCCTCGAAGCAGGCTCTTCGTCATCTTCTATGCCCGGGTTCCCATCCGAGCCTCCGACATCTTCGACGTCTGCGAAACCCTCCTCACATTGGACTTGGAGTAAGTGGAAATGCCCAATAATGCTTCACCCTTTAATTCTCCTTGACTGCACTTGCCTGTGGAATTGTTGCTGATTAGGATTCGATATGCATACCAAGCAAATGCGCACATGTTTATATAGATGATATTATATATGTGTTGCTATGTACATACGCAATAAGTTGATCTGGCGTACGGTTGGAGACCCAGCTATTCACATTTTATCTGTCTGCTGTTCAAGCTGGTTTATACAACGACTGAGTTTTGGACTTCCATGCGGTTTCGCTTGACAGGTTCAAAGCCCAAACCCAAAGAGAAGAGAGAGAGGACGGAGGAAGAAAAGGCTTTCCGGAGGAGAGCCAAGTATTTCCTCCTCACTCAGCTGGTCTCTGTCGTGGTATTCCTCACGCTTTTGGGGCCCATCGCTGCCCACGAAGAACTAGAGATGGACGAGGACGACGACGACCTGAGCTATGAATACTGAGCCACTGCGTGGGCATCACAGAGCTCTGTCCACTACACGTCGACAGCCCCCCCTCCCTTCTTCTTGCCATTACCCTCCATTTCGAGTAACAGCGGGGTGCCGAGTTCATTCCCCGCTCCATTTTGGGAAGTGCGGTCGGCAGAGTTCCCTTGGAAAATTCCAGTTTCCTTCTTTTTTTTTTCTTAACCTTCTTTTAAGCAATGTGAATGAATGGCTCTTGGTTGACCACCGGAGAAAGTGGAGGAGTTGTCGATTTCTTGATGCCTCTGAAAGGATCTGTTCTGAGGGAACATTAATTAGTTCATCACGCCGTCACAGGGGGAGGAGACTCGTTGGGCAGCCGATTGCATCGCCCGAAGAGGCAGAATGCGTTGAAACCCATGAAGAAGAAGAAGAAGAAGAGTAGCGCGATGCAGGAGGCGTGGGCAGCGGCGGCGGCGCCTCTCCCCTTGAGGAGCTTACACAACTTCACCCGCCACCGGCGGTGATAATACCGGTTGAGTTCCCTGATGGCCTCGTCGATCGAGGGGACCCGGGTCAGTTGCACCGACCTGCTCATACCGTTCCACAGCTCCGCTGCCTCGCCGTCGCTCTTCATGTAGTTGCGCACAACGCCGGCTTCCCTGAGCCGCCGCACGTCCTCCGCCACGTCGATTATCCCGTTCATCAGCTCCACGTACCTCGCCATAAACGCCGGCCCTGCCTCCGGCGACGCCGCCTCGTAGGCCACCAGGTTCCTCAGCGTGGCCTCCGTGTTCACGTCCAATCTCACCACCGGTAGTAGGAGCGTTGCCGTCACGCCGTCGAACGCCACCCTAGTCGGCCCACCCCTCGCCGGCGAGAACCGCACGCCGGCGCCGGCGAGGTCGGCGACGGAAGGTATCGCCATCTCCTCCGCTGGCAGCGGGCCCTCCCCGCCGGCGTCTTCGCCATCCTTGGAATACGAATCTGACAGGAGATTCTCCAGTAAGAGCATCAGCGGCGCGATCGCCGGCAGGTTGGCGGCGACCCTGCAAGGGATCCCCACGAGGAGCTTCGCGGATCGGGAGGCGGCGGCGCGGCGGAGACAGGACGAGAGCTTTCTGGCATGGCCGAAGCAGGTGGAGAGCTTCCCGGAGATGAATCCGTCGGAGAACGCTGCGTCGTCAGAGGCCTGATCCCCCGTCGTCTCCTGCGCCACCGGGCATCTTTCCTGCTTGGGGACGATCACGTCGTAGAGGACTTCCAGCAGGTGGGAGGAGCCCTTCCCGATGGCGACGGCAGCGGCAGCATCAGTCGTTGGCGTGAAGGGGCAGAGCACCTTCACCAGCTCCGCCACCATCTCCGCCAGCAGACCGTCCGCCGATACTCCCGGAGGCTGCTGGTCTTCCAAGATCATCCGCAGAACCCAGAGGGGAACCTGGTTCTCCAGCATGATCAAATCGCGCAGCAGCATATCGCCGGTGCACTTTTTCGTGGCGAAGTCAGCCTCCGGATCTGAAGCGCCGCCGCCGGGTACCCGGAGGAGCATCTCGAGTAGCTCAAGCAGGAAGGCGCCGTCGATGGCCATCGCCCACGCCAGCGTCTCGCCATTGAAGTCGAGGTGGCCGTGGTAGCTCGCGCGGAGGCGGTGATGGAGGCCGGCAAGGCGGTCAACGACGTGGTGTAAGCGGAGGCCGCTGAGGAGCCGCTTGCCGGCCCTGCGGGCGGCGGAGAGCTTGCGCCGGTCCATCGCGTGGAGCTCCGGCCGCCAGCGGTGGTAGGGGCCGAGGCCGACGACCTGCGGCACATAGCAGGTTGACTTTCCGGCGAGCAGCGCCGAGGGAATGCGGAAGATGGAGACGGCGAGGTGACCGTCTTCCTCTTCTTCTTCTTCTTCATCGAGGATGCGGCGGATTCGGACTACCCACTGGAGCTCGTCTGCGAGCGGCGGGCCATTGCTTCCATTCTTCTCTGACTGGGAGGTGAACATCTCTTCATGTCACGCAACGCGATCTTCTCCTCCGCGGGGCTTCGAGGATCCATTTGACATCAAGTGAAGTCAACGTACGCATTCAATCAGATCTGAACTGAAGATAACTGAAGATAAAACGGGAGAGAGCGGGCAATTACGTAGCCAATGTGAAGAGGAGCGGAGCGTAATTGTCCTCAGTTAGAGCTGCATTAAAAGAAAAATTAAAGTCCCATCCTTATCAATATGTTGTAAAGATTTGCTGAAAATAAAAAATAAAATAATGTAAATAATGTAATGGAACCAGAGTACAAAATTTGTTGCTATTAGTGCAAAGCTGCAGCTGCATTCTCCTTCCCTCTAGCAGATCCCAGCTCGACGACGACTTCCACAAGAGCTGGGATCCCACCTTCATAGCCAATGGCTAACCTGCCTTCATGAATGGTTGCAAGGTTTGCCAGAACGGCAACAGCCTTGTCAACCATCCCGGCCGCCGGGTCCATCAGCTCTACTAGATGCCTAACAGCCCCGGCCTGCACGATCCTTGCCTTGTTCTCATGAAATATCGATAGATTAAACAATGCAGTGGCGGCATCTTTCTTTCCACGGGGAGTTCCATTTCCTAATAGTTCCACGAGGGGTTTGATAGCACCAGAGCGTCCAATCTTCACCTTATTTTCTTCAATGACTGAAAGGCTGAAGATGGTGGCTGCAGAATTCTCTTTGGCTTCTGGATTACCCGTCTCAAGTACCTGACTGAGGGGATCAATGGCATCGGCATTGGCAATTGCGATCTTGTTGTTGTCATTGATGGACAAGTTCAGGAGGGCAGTGACTGCATTCTCCTGGGTTTTAGAGTCAGTCGAGTGAAGCAGACCAACCAAGTGGATAATTGCTCCACAGTTGGCGATTATGATTCTATTCTCCATGTTGTGCTTAGCAAGGAGACGCAACTCATGTGTCGCACTTCTCTGCAATTCGGTCCCTCAATCAGTCTACGGACTGCAGCTTCAACTTCCGATAGGTCCGGCCTTGAATCCAAGGATGGCGAGGAGACAATCCTTGGAACAAACCTTTCAGATGGACGGCGCCAAATAGTTCGGTTTCTGGACCGGGGCTCTGGCGACCTCGATTGAGATTCCTGTTCTCTTTGTGAAGTGGACGACGCTGGTGCTTCCTGTGCCATCTCCCCCGAGACGTCAGTACCATAATTTGCCATGTCACTCGGAGCCTTTCCTCCCATTAGTACAGCACTTGAGGCAGATGATGTCCTGTCGTATCCCTGAAGTTCTTTCCTGTAATTAGAGCACTCGAGATGGCAAGATTCAAGACCTCTGTTCCTCCAAACTGGACTCCTTGCCATCAGAACCTGCCTGCCAGATCCTTCCAACTGTTGAATCAAACCCATTGGCCAGATGAGGAGAGACGGGTCTCTCATTGACATGACCATCTTCATGGTTCTCATTGGAGGGTTAATGTGAATTCGAGTTGGAAATCGTAGCAGATCGATTTGGGTCAGGCGATCTTGAGTGTGTAAAGACTTTCGATGACCAAATATAGGTATGTTACAATCGTCAGAGTTTATATCTGCATGAGCAACGAAGCCAGATGGCTGTTTCAAAGTCATTGACTTCTCAGGATCTGGCAGCTTAATGCTGTTTGATTCGCACCAATTAGCAATCAAAGCCTCGACAGTGTAATTCGGTATCAAATCTGCATGCCCAAGTGCTTGACGTGTCTTGGGTCAGACAGTGGAACCCTGATCATACGTCTGGCCAGATGCCCCTATCACCGGGTCTGACATCAGTTCAAGTGAATCTGGATGCCGTTTATACTTGGCAACTGATTTGCTCTAACATAACAATCATCCATGCGATTAATGAGCGAAATCATAGGATCAATATAATACTCTAGATCATCGGGGCTTTCAACCTGGCTAAGCTTTGTCTTCAGCTTGTCAGGTGCAACAGCCTCCGTTAGGAGTTCCTGATTTGAGGACAAGCTCAACGAACTGCTAATCCTCACAACATGCTCCGAATCAAGGTTTATGTTTTCTATGTGATCCTTCACGGCTTCCTTCATAAAGTTTGAAACAGGTTCATAATCAAATCCTGAATTTTCTGTATGCAGCTCTGCAATTGTTTAGTAGAAACCTAACGTCAGTAAAAGGGCAAGATAGTTGAAAAATAACAGATTATTTTCAGGTTAGGAAACGAAGCCCATTCCCAAAACAATAGAACACTCTCCTTCCAACAAAGACACTTTCCCATCCGTTGATCCTATCAGACATCCAAGAGAAAACTCAAACAGTTGAGCAGCTTTTTATCATCCGTCTGTCAAGGCTACCAGAAGGAAAGATTAGATTAGATGAGGAGCCCACTAGAGGATCGAACCCTTCGCATTCTACCTGAGAGGCAGAAAAAAAATCAGTAGCAAGTGCCTGTTATGGGCTTTCTCTCTCTCAAGGTATTCAATCCTGGCCACCTGTTAATTCTTTCTCTGCAACGTGTTCAAGGAGAGAGGTATTTGACACGCAGTCGAGTCATTTCCACGAGTGTTCCTGAATGGGTGGCCACTCGTGTGGCGATGTTAGCCGTCCTGTCACCTAACATAGGACGGATGACGCATTCCGCTCTCCCTGCGGGTTAAGAGCAAGAACCTCCTATTCATCTTTCTCCTGCGCCATCTCCTCCTCCGGGAGAGCAGAGCCACTGCACCGGCGGCATTTATTGATCTCAGGGATCAAGCCAGGTCCCTGCCCCTTCCCCGGCAAAGCTCTCTCTCTCTCTCGCTACCTACATGTATATTATATCTATCTGTGCATGAATCCGTCGTGAAGGCCTCGCTCGTCGAGATCAAATGGGCTGGACAATCCCGACTTGTTCCTCAATCCCAGCTAAGCAACCTCAGACTAACGAGGGAGCGAGAGAGAGAGAGAGAGAGACAATGTGCGCCGACGGGCTACGTCTTGTTCCTCCTCTCTGAGAGCGGCGATTAAACGATTAGAAGAGTGGAACAGAAGATCCCCCTCCATCTTACATCCTTCTTTAATATCCAGGGGCGATTAATCGACCATGGCGTAGTCAGAGAGGACGAACACCAATCGCTCGACCACTATTTGACCTGATACTCTAACGATCAGATTAGATGATGTAGAAGGCATTCCCTAGTAATTTGCATGACCGCGTTACGGGTCTGGAACTTAACCGGGAGTTAACTTAATCAGGACGAAGTGGTAGGATGATTGAGCAATCAACTTAATAAACAAGCCTTTGAGAACCCAAAAATGTCGAAATGAACTCTACTGAGTAGTGGTGGTGACGAACACGAGAGAAAATAGAAGACCAAAAATCTCTAGACGGTGAACGGAAAAAAAAAAAAAAGCTAAGGACTTGGGGTGGACACGGTCCACTTTGAAGACAGCCACCGGAGGAGCTGCGAGGCTTTCTCAATCGAACAAGCTGAATCCCATGTCCTGCAAGAAGCAATGCCCAAGGAATGAGATATCTAGGAATCAATAAGAGTGAGTGATTGGTGCAGCTGACGAGAGGGTTCATGGGCTTACATCGTCTGACTCCTCCTTCTCCTCTACCTTCTCCTCCTTCTTGGCCTCGGCAGCAGCCGGAGCCGCACCACCACCTGCGGGCGCCGCCACAGCGACGGCGACGCCGCCGCCTCCAGAGGGCACTGAAGCGAACTTCTCCCTTCCGGAGGCAATGAGTTCGGTGATGTCCTTCCCCTTCACCTCAGACAGGAGGAATTCGATTCTGTCGTCATCAGCCTCAGCACCCACTGTTTACACCCATAGTTTCATGTTATCCGGGAGAAACGATTGAATTACATGCTTATCAAGCATTAGAATAAATATCGATATTTGATGACGCGAACCAGGGTGTGATGAAAGAATACAAAATTGGGCCAAGCAGATGGCACACCTGATCCAAGGATATCCTTGAGGTCCTCTGCGGAGGGGCTGGTGTTCCCACCCAGAACGGCCAGCAGATAAGCAGCGATAACCTTCATTTCTGGTGGGTCAGAAAAAACCAAGAAAAAGCAAAGGCAACGTGCTTTTATTCTCAGAAAATTCAATTGGAACCAACATCAGAAAGATTTACACTATCACTGATAAATTTTGCAGATTATAGAACCATGGTTAATCACGAAAGGTATGCGTTCTCGATGGTTCACAAGAGCCCTGTACTTTCAGAAGATATTCATCATAGAGATGCCGACAGCAAGAAATTATATTCGGAAAGTTCGGCAAACTAGTCGAAGAATTCAACTCATAAATGAGAAAAAAAAAAAAATCGGCGCCACAGGATAAACCAAAAGCCTTGAAAACATTTGTTTCAGAAATAAGGAGAAACGTTATAATCGGAAGACTAGTTAGGCGGCGTTCGCGAGACTGTTTCCATGATACTGCTGAATGACGAGCCGTAAGTTTCTCAACTGCCTTATGTTCTGATTCTTTGGATAGGCTAGCATCCCCCGCACTACATAAAGTCAATACAACACAGCGAAAGGAAAAACGAACATCGATTACTTGGATCAGGCGAGCAGGAAGATACTTAGTTGAGATCGTTTGGGGAAAGAGAGAGCAGTACAATACAACGTAAGGAAAAACTAACATCCAAAAAGGAAGCATGGTTCATGTAAGAAAAACAACCGAGGATGCCATTTTTCTTCCTCGACAAGAAGTCCCCAAGGAGACGTCACACGGCATGAAACAATTTCTCCGGTACCATTCACCGCAAAAGGGCAACCAATCCCCCTGGAGGGGCACCGGGAGATCATGTTAGCGGGAATCATTCTTACTTGAGATCGGCTGGGGAAGGAGATAGCCGCGACCGGCACCGCAAAGAATGAGAGGGAGCGCGAGGTTCAGGAACGGGGAGTTCTCCGCGGCTAGGGTTACTGGGAGAGCAAATGTGGCACAGGGCCTGGTTTTTATATAGTGATCTCCATGTGATTCTCCAGCCAACGGTGGATGATCATCCAGATCCTTGAACTTTGACCGCCCGATTAATGGGCCCATCTCACAATGAGCCTACGGTGGCCCTCTCCGGTGGGCCGTCTGAAAAAGAATGCTCGTTTCCCTATTATGGCTTGGTGGACCGGGAAGGATGGGCCTGGGGGAGGCGAGCGAGCTCCTGCGCTCTCCCTGGATGGGAGGAGTTATGGATGGCATGATGGGCGGGGAAGGATGGGTCCGGGGGAGGCGAGAGACCCCCTGCCCTCTGCATGGATGGCCGCAGAGAGAGAGAGAGAGAGATAGAGAAGGGAGGAGTCATGGCACTGTACAGATCTTTGCACCCCGTCCTCTTTGAGTTCTTCACCATTCTTGGCCGCTTTCAATTTCTGATGTAGAGGAAACAACCGCCTATCATTTCATGTCTTTATTCATACAAAAAACCTAGTGCTATTACTATTTTCTCTCTCTAGGTCTTTCTCTACAACATGTTCAAAGCAAAAGGTATCTGATACATAGTTGAGTTAAATCTATGGCTTGAAATAAAGTTAACTTCACGGGCTCAATTCTTCTAGACAATATCATTCAATATTCGTAGAGATCTCACCTCTCACAAGTATGTCTTGACTCACAATACCACGTGCTTAAACTAAGGTATAGTTATCTTCAAAGAATAACACTCTTCATGAGCAGATTTTGATTGTCAACACTTCCTACTTAGGCTTTACCCTCTCTCTACTCACCACTCAAGTTATCTTAAGACTTGATGAAGAGAGATAACCTTCAGTGTAGTTAATTAATTCAAATATTACCACAAATAATAAATTTTAATTTTAATTTTTTTTAAGACACATGATTATTTTATTATAAAAAGTGGATTAAATCTTCTTCTTGAACTCATGTGAGTGATACAGATTAATGTTTCTTCATTTAGCATTAACCTCGTATGTCTACAACTTATTATATTATACTCTAATGGATTAATATCATTTTAACATATGAAAATGGTCATATATTAATTTGAATATCTTTTAGTTGCTTTGCTGACACTATTTCTTTCATAATTTCATTTAGATATGATCATTTGACTTGTCTTTAGTCCATGTTTTTTGCTGACAAGTTACCATCTAAAATTTACACTTTTGAGCTTCAATCATACTTCTGCTCAAATCTTTCAACTCTTACATATTTCTTGATATTATGTTTACGGATCTTTGAGTAAATAATGAATGTTTAGAGTCTGAGTTAAGATAATGTTGTTGAACTTGTTGTTTAGTCCATTAACTCTAATGATAAGTTACCATCTAAAGTGTGTGAGGTAGACCTTTAGTTTTTTTTTACTCCAAAGCATATTGATCTCTCACACGTGATCTTCAAAACTTTTATCTAAATATTTGTGCTACTTCCACAAATGATCTTACTCTTAATACTAGATTGAAGTTAGGTCATCTATACTTTATTGTTTTCTCCACATAAGAATCTAACATGTTACCGTGTAAATTAAATGTAACAATTTCTCTATTTCTTCTTTGTTTCATGTGAATGGTCTAATTTAATTACCATGTGGGTCATGAGTTTTTAATCTTGCTTCAAAAAGTGATCATATTTTTTAAAATATTTTTTATTTCAAATTCTACCCATTTAGAGGTTTGAATATTTCAACCATAATTTTTTCACTTTTGTGAAACTTCTTTCTTGAGATGGGATCTCTTATGTATGCCATTTTTTTTATTTTTAGACATTTTTGTATTTGTGTTTCTATCTTCACTATGATCATGTGCCCTGTTTGAATCTCACAAGTGACTTTATTTTTCCAAGATAAACATGAGGCTTCATCACTTATGTTGACACATGTAAATTTTGTACTTGTATTTCAAGAGTATTAGACTACATTATTAGAATATTTGATGAAACAAGGGCAATTGACCATTATTATAGATGTCCTTGGTTTTGACACATATAATAGGTTCTGATGCATATAATATTGTATTTGATGTCAAAACTTATTATATGTCAACTATAATAGGCAAGCAGACATTTTCAAAAGCACTACCATAGAGTCCATGAGAGGTCCTAAGTAGAGGGCCTAGCTCACTTGGCTGCCTTTCAGCCTCCAAAGATGCCTACATCTTCAAAGGCCATCACTCAACAAGTGATACAGAAACTTATAGTTGAATTAAAGTGGCTAAAATCAAGCATGACATATAACTCTAATGCTTCTTCAACCCTGCTCCAGTGACATCTAATGATTTCCTAGCTTAATCTATAGTATTACAAGTAACATTTAATGATTACCTAGCTTCTTGGATATTAGATATGATGCCCACTAACTATATGAGTTATTTATCAAATTATTATATCATATAAAACTTGTCCACGTAATATGAAAGTTGTCACAACTGATAGATCCTTAATTATTGTATGATGTGGAACTAAGATGTACAAACTATCCAAAATGGAGTTCCCTTAATCTTTAGGAAATCTAAGAAGTGATCATAAATTAGACTTAGATCAAATTCTAAAGAGAAAATTTAAGAGGAGATTAATTCCACAATTCATAGGAGAGGATTGTTTAATTATCTTTTATGAGGCCTAATTCAAGAAATTAGAGAAGATTAGAACCTCATTTAGGATCACCAAGATGTAGAGAGTGGCAATCTTATGGATAACAAATTCTAAAGAGCAATGACTAAATTTCACAATAGGAGAGGGCTCAACGTACCTTAGTCAATGAAGGTCATTGAAGAACCTTGGAATTGGGAGAAGCACGAGTTAAGGTGACAGCAGTCGGGAGAGATAAAACGGCGTGAATAAATAAATGAGGAATTCGGAGAATAGGGGTATGAATAGATAAATAATAAATAACGGGGCAGAGAGAGAAAGTGGTGAAATTAAGAATCTTTAACGGAGGAGAGAGAGAAAAAAGGAGGGACGACGGGTGGACGACGAGGAAGCGGAACGGCGGCGACGAGGCGGATGGCGAGGAAGCGGAATGGTGGCAGCGTGGCGGACGGTGAGGAGGCGGAATGGCGGCGAGGTGGACGGCGAGGAGGCGGAATGGAGGCAGCGCGGCGGACGGCGAGGAGGCGGAAAAGGCCGCGACGGGGCGGCGGCGAGGAGGTGGAAACGGGGACGACGGGCGGCGGCGAGGAGGTGGAAACGGGGACGACGGGATGGACGGCGAGGAGGCGGAATGGTGGTCGCGAGGCAGACGGCGAGGAGGCGGAATGGTGGTCGCGAGGCAGACGGCGAGGAGGCGGAATGGTGGCGACGAGGCGGGCGGTGAGGAGGCAGAATGGCGGCCACGGCGGGAGAAGAGTGAGAGAGAAAAAAAAAGGAAATACGGGATAGAGATAAGGGAACGAAGTGGTAAGGGATTCCGGCGGAGGAGAAGAAGGGTAGGAAGAGGTAAGACGAAGGGAGAGAACGGGAGGGAGAGGGAGAGAATGAGAGAGAAAGGGAGGGGGGGAAAATGGAGAGGGAGAAGAGGCGAGAGAGAGGAGAACGAACGAGAGAGAGAGAGAGAGAGAGAGAGATGAAGGGGAGAAAGGTAAGCTGTTTATTCCAAATTCTAAAAAAAGTCGTCCTAAAGATCGCATTCCTTCTTGTATTTATAGGGAACGAGATGCATGAGAGAGAGGGTAGTTGGGCGGTTAGAGACACCTGTTGGATTGAGATAGTGTCTCTTGGAGGGACACGTCTTATCCCTCTCTGATAGTCACATTGGTTGATGGGCCTTCCTCCATGGGGCTCTTCTTCCATGGGCTCCTCTTCTTCTTCTTGGGCCCATTGAATAGGGTGAATCCTCTTATTGATGTTGGTGGAGGTTCCACTTGAGGTTGATCATGTTCTTGAGTTGGCTCCATTGAGTCAACTTGAGATGAATTGATTGGCTCAGTCACTCCATCATTGTAACATGGATTACAGATATGAAAATAGAACCTATTGACATCCTTAGAAATGCTTTACATGTTCCTAAGTTTTCTATAAATTTATTTTTTGTTAGAAGGTTAATTAATATCATACCTTGTAGAGTGATTATTGATAGTGATGTTTATGATGCGTATGATAAAGTAAACATGCAAGAAAATTAGACATGTCGATCATTAGGAATGACTATTATCTTAGAGCATCAAGAAAAAACTATATTGCAGAGCTAAATGATCACTTAGGACATGAGACTTTTATCTTAGCAAAGTTTGAGAATTTTTGGTTGTATCATTGTGTCACCTTAGACAATTTTTTTCAAGATAATGAAATTTATGTTTTCAAACTTATTTCTAAATGTGAACTTAGAAATATTAAAAGGTAATCTGTGCAGATTGTAAAACATAAGAGAACATCATTTTTGTTGATTAGTGAGATGAGTACACCACCATTCTCTCTAATTCGTAGTGATGTTTATGGACCATCACCAATTCCTAATATGTTAAGAGCTAGATGGTTTGTCATTTTTATTGACAATTACTCACTAAACACATAATTTTTTTTGTTAAACTATAAATTAGAAGTGAGCAAAGTTCTATAATAATTTTTCTCACTCATAAAAAATAATTTTTTGAGATAAAAGTAAAAAATTTAGATCTGATAAATGCAAGCTATTCTTTTAATCCCATCATTACAAAATACTTCTTAAATGAAAGAATTATCCACAAGTCATTATATGTTAACACTCAACATAATGAAGTGGCTGAAAGAATGAAAAGACATATTCTAGAAGTGGCAAGAGCACGTCTAATCCAAACTTAAGTGCCTTAATGCTATCTCAATTTTATCTTAATGTTCAATTGAAAAATAATTAATTCTTCAAGTGTTCAGATGTGCGTGCTTTCTTAGTAATCAAGATCCAACTAAGGGTAAACTCGATAAAAGTGTGTTTATAGTACTCAAATAGAAAAAAAGGTATAGATGTTACCATCTTCCATTTAAGAGAGTTTTTGTTTCAAAAGATGAAATTTTTCATGAGCATTAAACTTATTTTGATAAGTGTTCTTTTAAGAGGGTAACTCCTAATATTATGGAGGGAAATAATAAAAAAGGTAATTATGTTACCAAGTATACCTATAGAAATGCCCATCTTGATGAGTGGAAAATCATCAGCTCGATTGGGTCTTCCCTTGGTGAGATGCTAGGTTCTAATACAACTTTGAATGAAAATAATAAGGTAAACCCAGTTGAAAGATTCCAAAAATAGGGTTCATGAGAAAGGTGCAATTATAGATTATGGCAAATCAAGTACAACGACAAGTCAACAAGGAAAATAATCAGCCGGAAACAATCACCAATCTATAAAGGCTCTAGCTTTATTTACAGTCAAATGGCCGCCTAACTACAATCACGGCAGAGCAATTGGACTCTTGGACCACATTCCAATACACCTGATGCAAGATGAATATCATTGATGCGGAGGAAATGATTAGGGAATACAATGGGCAAATAACAAGCTACGAAACTCGCACACGATTGGATCTGAACCTTTGAAAACTGACTGTGATGAGGTGAGAAGATCGTTCCATTCCTCTCTCGAGGGCGGAAGGACTGTCTCAAGTCACCATGATAAAACAAAGCTTCACGTTTCAAAATCTTAGTCGACCTCCAAACAAGGAAATCGCAGCCCACTCGGCTGGTCTCGAGCCTACACGGCTAAATCCGATGGCGGTGGAAACACGTATGAGGAAAGACGGGATGAAATCAAAACACATGACCATCAGAGATGGTTGAGAGGGGACCTTCGGCATTTGCACGCCACAATGTTGACGTCGATGGCAGAGCTGGACGGAGCAGGGCGCGCAGGGTGTGTGCGGTCGACGTGCAGAGCTGGACCTTCGGAAAGCTTGTGCAGGGCGAGTCGCCGTGGCGCGTCCGCCAGGCGCGGGACGCGCGAGCGCTTGGGCAGGATGCACGGGACGCGTGAGCGCCCGGGGGAGGTCGTACACGGCGCGTTGCCGGCGCTCCGAGGGACGCTGATCGGCACGTTCCCGGGCACACGAGTGCTGATAGAGAGACCCGCCGGTGACGCCAAAGAGAGTTGACTAGAAGGTAGGGGGGGGGGAAGAGGGACCCACGTGACGGCGGTTGGCTATAGGCAGCGGCGGTCATACGGATCCCTTAGGGCATGATCTCTCGTGTAAGAAAAGTATTATGAAGATCAAAGCCATTGTTCAATAGAAACCGTAGGCCTATTTATAAGCCTCGGGACGAGAGAGAGGATTACAACCTAAAGTAAATAAAAGAAAATCAAATATGAGTAAGTCCTAATAGAAATAGAAGCCGGCGGCGACGTGGAGGGGCCTTGATGTCGTGGCTGCCAATGGTGGGGCTACGGTCCATGCCCCATCAACACCCCATAAGGGCAGCAGCATAATCAAAAGAGCACTTGTTTTACTACAAGTTTAAATGCCACAGCTCGGTGAAATCATTCGCTGGAACTGTCAACCTCATGATCTACCACCACCGTGTCTCTGGTTTCTGAAATGGGTAAGAAGTAGCTGCGCCTGCAAGGTAAATAATTTAAAAAAAAAAAACGTTGGCCATCTGAAATGGAAAGTAAAGCAGAAGATACAGCGATAAGTCTTCAGAGAGAATGACAAAGCATTAAATATATATTAAATCAAGCAACAAGAAAGCTGGTGAAATTATTCAACTCAACTCCAGTATGGGAGGAGGGATGGTTCTGCAAGATGCGAGCAAATTTGGTGAAAATAAAATAATAAAATAATGCAAAGAAGGCATTGACGAACCTTTTCCCTTGCTCGGGGTGTCCCAGACTGCGCCAGAGACCTTCTTGGAGAACCAGGGTACAAAATTTGTTGCTATTAGTGCAAAGCTGCAGCTGCATTCTTTTTCCCTCTAGCAGATCCCAGCTCGACGACTTCCACAAGAGCTGGGATGCCACACCTTCATAGCCAATGGCTAACCTGCCTTCATGAATGGTTGTAAGGTTCGCCAGAACGGCAACAGCCTTGTCAACCATCCCGGCCGCCGGGTCCATCAGCTCTACTAGATGCCTAACAGCCCCGGCCTGCACGATCCTTGCCTTGTTCTCATGAAATATCGATAGATTAAACAATGCAGTGGCGGCATCTTTCTTTCCACGGGGAGTTCCATTTCCTAATAGTTCCACGAGGGGTTTGATAGCACCAGAGCGTCCAATCTTCACCTTATTTTCTTCAATGACTGAAAGGCTGAAGATGGTGGCTGCAGAATTCTCTTTGGCTTCTGGATTACCCGTCTCAAGTACCTGACTGAGGGGATCAATGGCATCGGCATTAGCAATTGCGATCTTGTTGTTGTCATTGATGGACAAATTCAGGAGGGCAGTGACTGCATTCTCCTGGGTTTTAGAGTCAGTCGAGTGAAGCAGACCAACCAAGTGGATAATTGCTCCACAGTTGGCGATTATGATTCTATTCTCCATGTTGTGCTTAGCAAGGAGACGCAACTCATGTGTCGCACTTCTTTGCATTTCCGTCGAATCGCTTTTCAAGTCCTCAATCAGTCTACGGACTGCGGCTTCAACTTCCGATAGGTCCGGCCTTGAATCCAAGGATGGCGAGGAGACAATCCTTGGAACAAACCTTTCAGATGGACGGCGCCAAATAGTTTGGTTTCTGGACCGGGGCTCTGGCAACCTCGATTGAGATTCCTGTTCTCTTTGTGAAGTGGACGAAGCTGGTGCTTCCTGTGCCATCTCCCCTGAGACATCAGTACCACAATTTGCCATGTCACTTGAAGACTGTGAGACCCTGTCATCTTCTCCTCGAAGGCATTCAGTGCTGGAAACAGCACTTGAGGCAGATGAAGTCCGGTTGTGTCCCTGAAGTTCTTTCCTGCCATTAGAGCACTCGGCCTTTGATTGATTGGGGAGATGGCCAAGAGAACAAGACCTCTGTTCCTCCAAACTAGGCTCCTTGCCATCAGAACCTGCCTGCGAGATCCTTCCAATTGTTGAATCAAACCCATTGGTCAGATGAGGAGAGACGGGTCTCTCATTGACATGATCATCTTCATGGTTCTCAGTGAAGTGGATGAATGTGAATTCGAGTTGGAACTCGTAGCAGATCGCTTTGGTTCAGGCGATATTGAGTGTGTAAACTCTTTGGATGACCAAATCTAGGTGTGTTACAATCGTCAGAGTTTATATCTGCATGAGCAACGAAGCCAGATGGCTGTTTCAAAGTCATTGACTTCTCAGGATCTGGCAGCTTAATGCTGTTTGATTCGCACCAATTAGCAATCAAAGCCTCGACAGTGTAATTCGGTATCAAATCTGCATGCCCAAGTGCTTGACGTGTCTTGGGTCAGACAGTGAAACCCTGATCATACGTCTGGCCAGATGCCCCTATCACCGGGTCTGACATCAGTTCAAGTGAATCTTGATGCCGTTTATACTTGGCAACTGATTTGCTCTAACATAACAATCATGCTTGCGATTAATGAGCGAAATCATAGGATCAATATAATACTCTAGATCATCGGGGCTTTCAACCTGGCTAAGCTTTGTCTTCAGCTTGTCAGGTGCAACAGCCTCCGTTAGGAGTTCCTGATTTGAGGACAAGCTCAACGAACTGCTAATCCTCACAACATGCTCCGAATCAAGGTTTATGTTTTCTATGTGATCCTTCACGGCTTCCCTCATAAAGTTTGAAACAGGTTCATAAACCAAATCATGATTATTTTCTTGGCAGCTCTGGTAGTGTTTAGTAGAAACCTAACGTCAGTAAAATGCCAAGATAGTAGAAAAATAACAGATTATTTTCAGGTTAGGGAACGAATCCCATTCAAGATGTTGCCTGGACGCAGTCCAAGTATATTAGTTATGACCGCTAGAGAGGTGTAGGCCAAAAGGAAATAGGAGCTAACCATTCCCGAAACAATAGAACACTCTCCTTCCCACAAAGACCTTTTCACATCCTTTGATCCTGTCGCACATCCAAGAGAAAACTCAAACAGTTGGGTAGCTTTCTATAATCCGTCTGACAAGGCTACCAGCAGGAAAGATTAGATTTGATGATGACGTAACAAAAACAAGAGAAAATAATATCGGCGCCACAGGATAAACCAAAAGCCTTGAAAACATTTGTTTCAGAAATAAGGGGAAATGTTACGATCGGAAGACTAGTAAGGCGGCGTTCGCGAGACTGTCTCCATGATACTGCTAATCGACGAACCCGTTTGTTTCTGAATTGCCTTATGATTTGATTCTTGATAAAGGTTAGCATATTCTCTCCATATAATCCCCTACCGCACTACATAAAGCCAATACAACACAGCGGAAGGAAGAACGAACATCGAATACTCGGATCAGGTGAGCGGCAAAATACTTACTTGGGATCGGGATGGGGCCTCGGGTACTCCGCCAGAAGAGGACTTACCGACGCCCTCGTCTTCCGCCAAGATACCCTTTTGCACCAGCAACTATCTGAAGACGTACGTGGGAGACCGTGAGCCGGGAGGCTAACGGTTCCCTTCTTCTCGACATTTAATAACGGTCGGGCAGAAGAGGTGGGGAAAGGTGGGGAGCCGGGATGTTGACTGACGAGGTTCCATGAACTGAACGATAATTCCACTCTTTCTCTCTCTCTCTCTTTTCTTGTCGGTCGAGTTGTGGACAAAGTAAATCGAGTTCCATTGTCTTGTAGTCGAGTGCAGCGTCACTCCTCGTCAGCGGCTACTGTAGTTGATAGATTTACTTCATAGTTTATTCAGCTCTTCTCTTCAGCGCAGTGCTCTGTCTCACCTCCCTCTTTCTTTCTCCATCTATTATAATAGTTTACTGTTTTCTCTCCCGTCGGTGACGGGTTCCTATCTCTCTCTCCGGCTTTCTCTCTCTATCTATTACAATAGTTTATTGTTTTCTCTCCCGTCGGTGACGGGTTCCTCTCTCCTCACTCCGTCTTTCTTTCTCCATCTATAACAATAGTTTATTGTTTTCTCTGCCAGTTTCTGGGAAGGAAAAACGAACATCCAAAAAGGAAGCATGGTTCACGTAACAAAAACAACCGAGGATGCCATTTTTCTTCGGAAACGTCGCAACCAATCCCCCGGGAAGGGCACCGAGAGATCATGTGAGCGGAAACATTCTTACTCGGGATCGGCTGGGGAAGGAGAGAGCCGCGACCGGCATCGCAAAGGATGAGCGGGAGCGCGAGGTCTGGGAACGGGGAGCTCTCCACGGCTAGGGTTTCTGGAGAGCGAATGTGCACTGGGCCTGGTCTTTATATAGTGATGTCCGGGTGATTTCCAGCCAACGATGGATGATCATCTAGAGCCTTCTACTTTGGCCGCCCGATTAATGCGCCTATCTCACAATGAGCCTACGGTGGTCATCATTATCATTTGCATATAAGAGTTGATAATAAAAAATACAACCCACAACTTATGGATTTGATTCATGTGGCTTCTATGATTAGTTTATGCTGAAGTTCGTTTTATTTCTTGAGGAAGGAGAGTCAATGTAAAAGAGAAAACTAGATGGAGTGCAACAAGATGTTGGACAAAGAGAAAAGATATAAACCATACTTGGTCATGGAGTTACAAACCTAAATGGACTCATGCTTATATTGATAGACAGAGAGTGGGGGACTAATTGTGGATGGGGAGTGATTTTTGACGAAATTACTCATAGTGCTAAGTAGTGTGCATAAATCATTTATTTTAACATCTTCTTTGGGTCAACTGAGTTGGTGTCACAAGTCATGTGATTCACTTGTGTCCGGGCCCACCAATCCTCCAACTTAGATGGGTTGACTTCTAAAATAAGAAATGGGTAGGCCTGAAGCAAGTGCCCATTCCTCATACAACCTTGTCTTTGTTCTCATTAGCTTCTTGGTCAACATGGTTCAACTTCCAAATGAGAACGTTTTACCAAGGCTCATTATTCACTAATGTATTCTATAATCACTATTAGTGACTATCACATTGGGAAGAAGCAAGCCACCACATAGAGAGATGAGATGATGTCGTCGATTGCTACTTGGCGATGATCTCCTTGAGCTGTGGCATGTTGCTCCTAGTCACACAACAAAGATTACTCTCACACCCACTCAAGTAGATGCTGCCGCAGTAGCTCTGGGATACAATACCTCAAGAACTATGAAGCTAAAGGGGCTGTTAAGTAATTACAATATTATGATTCTTAATGACACTAGGGCCACCCACAATTTTATTTCTACAAATCTTCTATCTTAGTTAGGTCTTACAACTATAGTTACTCCTAGGTTCAACATATGTCCCAATCTTTATTCTCAAGCAAGGCATATATCTTGACCTCTCCATCCAACTTTAAGACATTAAAATTCAAGATGATTTTCTCTCATTACAATTAGACAGCATGGAGTGCATCCTTGCCATGCAATGACTATGAACCTTGGGTGAAGTTGAATTAGACTATCAAAATCTGGTCATGTATTTTATGATGGGCAATACCAAGGTTAACTTACATGGTGATCCACAACTCGTCAGGTTAGGTATCTTGTTGAAATCTTTAACTCAAGAACTATTGTACAACTTTGATTTTTTGGTAGAACTCAAGCACATATCTACACATGATTGCATGCTGCCCATTTCACTTTCGGCAAACTAGGTTACTACTCTTTTTGTGAAATTCTTTCCATAAGTTTTTATAATCCCAACCAATTTACTTCCACATTGTGTACTAAATCATGCAATCCCTCTTCTGCCCAACATGTCAGCTATCAACATTTGCCCATATCACTATTTGCACAACCAAAAGACAGAGATAGGGCATCTTATTCAACAAATGTGCATTGAAGGTATAATTCAACCTTCTTTCAGCCCATTTTTTATCCCGATTATAATCATAAAAAAAAAGATAAGAGTTGGTGATTTTGTGTTAATTATCGTGCATTAAATTGTGCCATTATCTTGAACAAAATTTCTTATTCTTGTAGTGGATGAACTTCTAGATGATCTTCACGATGCAACCATATTTTTCAAGCTCAATCTAAAATCCGATTATCATCCAATATGCATGAAGGTATCAGATGTTCAAAAAATTACATTTCATACACATCTAGGTCATTATGAATTCTTGGTTATGTCATTCAACCTCACTAACACACATGTTACTTTTCAATTTGTCATGACTAATATTTTTCAAGCATTCTTATGCCAATTTGTGCTGCCATTTTTTGATGACATTCTGGTATGTAGTCATGACTATAATTCTCACCAAGATCACTAGTTCTATGTATTTACTATCCTCAATAATAATCATCTTCATATTAATCCAATAAAATATAAACTTGGGCTTCTTATTATTTGATTATTTGGGTCATATTATCTCTACTCATAGCATGGAGGTTGAAAAATCTAAGGTGGGTGTTATACTCAAGTGGCTCATATCAAAGACTCTCAAAAAAACTCCATAGGTTTTTTCGTCTCATAGGTTATTATCATTGATTTGTGGCCACTTACAAGACCATTGCATAACCCATTATGTAATTATTAAAGCATGATTCATTCAACTAGGATGAAAATACAATAACTACTTTTAAGACAATTAAGATATCTCTCTAGACAACTCCTATATTAGTTTTTTCTAATTTTGTTCTTCCTTTTGAGCTTGAAACAAATGTATCTAGATATAACAACGGTGTGATTCTTATGAAATGTCAGCAAGCCATTGTCTACCTTAGTCAAATACTTTCTCCTCAACATCAACTAACGTTCATTCATATATGAATGAGAGCTTATGGTGATCATTTTGGCCATCCAAAATGATGTCATTTCTTAGTTGACAGCTCATTTATCATCTATATTGATCAACACAACTTGAAATATTTATTAGAAGAACAAGTGATAGCTTTAGAATATCAAAAATGACTACTAAAGCTCTTTGAGTATCAGTTTAAAATTAAATTCAAAATCAGCTCAAAAAATAATAAAGTAGATGCATTCTGTTGAGTGATAGTTTTGGAATGTATTTTCTTGAGTATCATCTACCTTTGTTTCATATGTTTCAAATCAAGCCCAACTCAAGTGAGAAGTACGATCACACTCCTAGTCGGTATGTATTATCTATGACTTGATTTCTAATGCACAATAATGGTTGTATTATTTGTTGCAAGATGGACTCCTATTTTATAAAGGACAAATTTCAAATGTCTATTTAATGTCTTTTATTTTTTCGGTCACTATCTTCTTCAACTTGATTTTCTACATCATAAATATGCCTTAATTCATCTTGCTGATGAAGTTTTGTTGTAGGCCTATCTTCTATTATCAGATGCAATACCTGTAAAACCCTGTTTGAAATGATTTTTCCTTCTTACCCATTGTCCTCTATAACTATCAAAATAGTCTTGTCATAGGTCATTTCATGATTCTTTTGAACATATAAATGAATTTACCGAGAACTCTTTCTTGGCTTTAATATGTCTAAGTAAAATACTAGGAGGGGGGGTAAATTAGTTTTCTATGTGTTTGACACACATTCTAAAGTAATTTATAAAGTATGAATACAACTTAATCTACAATTCTTATCTAGGTCATTCAAGTATTTTGATTTCTTTTTCTCTTACTCCTAATAATAGTAGACATAGAGGTTTTGTACTTATTCACTTTTCCTTAGGCTACATCTAGTAGATATCCCTTTCCTAATAAAGGAGGATCATCTTTTTAGATTTCTACTATTTATCAACAGAAATATAACTTATTTCATGTGCTCAACACTCTTTACACAACTATTTGATCTCTATAGATATCTCACCCCTCAAAGGTAAGTCCTGACTCACAACACCATGTGCTTAAGTCAAGGTATATTTCTCCTTAGAGAATAGCACCCTCCGGGTGTGGATTAAGTCTCTTAACACTTCATGCCTTAGTCTTATTTTCTCCACTCAACACATAAGTTAACTTAGGGTCTAATGGAGAAAGACAATCTTCAATAAAGTTGTTTGATTTGTAAGTTGTCCCAAATTATCAAATATGATAGAGTTATGATTTCTTCTTCGAAGTGCGTAGTTGTTTTGTTGTAGAAGGTTGAGTAGATCTTCCTTTGAGCTCGTGTGAGTGATATAGATGAAATGTTTCTTCATTTAGTGTTTAGTTCATTTGTTCTCAGCTCAATATGCTTATATTTGTATGGATTCATATCACTTTAGCATTTAAAATCGTCATATAAATTTGAGTATATTTTTCTTGTTTCGCCATATTTTGGTGACCTTTAGTTATTTTTCATTTCCAAACTCTACTTTGA